ATTATTATCATTATTATTGTTATTATTATCATTATTATTATTGTTAATATTGTGATTATTGTTATTATCATCATCATTATTGTTGTTATTATCTTCATTATTTTCCTTATTATCATTATTGTTATACCATCCATGCCCTTGACGAAGGTTTCGTCCTTAAGGTTATTCAACTCTGTGATGAAGACCTTTACACTTTCACGACTGTCTACACTAGACAAGTAAACAGCTATACAAGTCAACGATTACTTAATGTGATCTTTTTAAACAGCCAGGATTTGTTACAGTTTGATGTTTTTTCGTCTGTGCTTGAGTCTAAAATGGTACTAGACAGGTAATTACCAAACATAAGCCACAGGCTCAGTATTAAGTTACTGATGGAGGTAATGTGTTTCTCGTGAGTTCCAACGGGTTACTGAGAGCGTGGTCAGAGCAAACCGAGAGAAAGAAAAATAAATTATCAGAGGAAATCAGCCACAAAAAGAGCAAAGTGAATTTTGCTGCAACTTATTATGTGTGTCTAAGTATAGACGTTCAGGATTGCTATTCCATAACTGTATTAACCTCTAAAACACTCTCGCAGAGAAAGTGCAGAGAAAGGCGAAGATCAGCAAACGGGAAGTCTAGATCTAGGAGATGATTATCAGAACGACACCAGGACCACTAACCATCACAGTGGACAACAACACATTATTCAAACAAGGAAAGGCGTTCAAATGCCAGGGAAGCATGTTCATCCAAGACGGAAAGATGAACAGAAAAAAAAGAAATTAGAATAACAAAAGTCAGTGCTGTGGCTTTCTAACTGGAACCATTACTTTCACCCTCACTCCCCAACATCACTATGGGAGTAAGCGCTATCTCAGTTACGGGCATCTTCATACAAACACTGTGTTACCAGGCCCAAACATAGACAGTAAACAAGAGTCACCAAAGTAAAATATACGCCTGCCAAACAAGGAGCAATTGAAATCACGGATTCGAACTAATATGTTAGAGGTACAATCGACAACAAATTGAAATGTCAAAATCACAATATTGTTTAAAAAGGGTAAATGAGAAGCTGTACTTTCTGAGGAAACGTAGATGTTTCAATTTAAATACATCCATCCTCTAAATAATTTACGCCTCCACAATAGGAACGCTGATAAGGTTTGGCAAATCTTGCTATGGTATCTATTTGGGAATTCAGCACACCATAGAAATAGTTAAGTTTATCTGAAAGGCATCGAGAACAAAATGGTAGATACCTTACTAATTATTTTGAATCTTTGTGCAAGACAAGCGTTCTAAAAGGCAGAAATAAATGCTAGGGGATTAAAGTCAATCAGTGACTTTAGAAATTCAATTATCGACCCACAGTAAACGACTTATTTCCAACAAATCAAGAACAAAGTATTTAGAAGTTCATTTATACAAACTGGAAAGGGGGGGGGGGTTGGGGTGGAAGAGAGAAAAGAGATAGAGAGCGAGAAAGACTGTTCACAGAACAATGTTGATTCAGCTCGTAACATATTATATTATATTCCATCAATGTCCTGTCTTGTCGTGTGTATGCGGGAGTAAGTGCGTCTGGCTGTTGTGACATCCACTGCCATTGTCAACTACCAAGACAAATTTCTCCCTGATAGATGAATTAAGATTGTCATTTCTTTATTCATTGTTTAGATAAACAACATTATATGTTTCGGACACTGCAAAGACTACTACCAGACAGCAGAACAGCGAGGATATACAACCAGAGAGCAGATAAATACTGAATAAGAGTCAGATCCAGGGAAAATGGAAAGAGGGGGTCCGAGAAACATTAGACAAAAACAATGTAGTAACCATGCAACAGACAGTGCAATTAACAGGAAAAAGACATTTGCTTCTCCCTTCGACACGGAAAGGCAAAGGAGGCAGGAAAAACTTCATGTAAAAGTAATGAAAGTGCCTAGCCTTAAGTGCTGCATTGTTAGGTTTAGAAAAGATTATACACCATGAGATCATTCTATGCAAAGTGGTTTCTGTATGGCAGTAATATTTTTAACACCCCCTTTACCGCCCCCGCCCCACATGGCACGATAGTATTATACTTGATTCTATTAGGAGGCAGCCTCCTTTGACACAGCCGTTTACAGCCATGGAGGCAGCCTCCTTTGACACAG